GTATACTTCTATATTTTTGTGTCTGAAAGACACTTGATAGCTTGTTTTGACTTCCTAACAATCGAAATCTGCCGGTAGCTGACTATAGTTGAAAACAAAAATTATATCAATTATTGAATTGAATTCTTGATTTTCCCGTCGATTGATTGGACCGCAGTGTTCGGTCTCAGGTTGGCATGTCGGTTTCTTGTGCAGTGGTCTAGTGGATAACGCTTTGGCGTTTGAAACTATGGGCACTGGGTTCGAGCCTCGGTGGGAACATCATCACTCACTGAGAAATGCAGGTACATCCAGCTGACGAGTCCCAATTAGGACGAAATGCGCATCCTGGATTCCACTGCTAGCCACCATCCACCAAATGTATACAAAAAATTATATCAACTGCTAAGACTAATTTTCGCCCTAGTTTGGGACTCTTCATCAGTATGTGCCCACCGCTGTTCGAGCTCAGCACACTTTGGTTATAAGGCGAGCTTGTATACCATTAAGCCACTGGGACCAGACCCAATGACCAACTGTCCAGTACTCCCTGTACGTTTTACAGTGGTTCTCTAACTGATGTCAGTTCATGATGAAATCATCCAAATAATCAAACAAAATTCCCTACAATAACCAATACTTGAAAAACTAATTTTCAACAACATTTGAACACCAATTAAAAACATGATTTACTCCTTGATTTCCAATTATCAGTCATACAATTCTCGCACTAACCAGCACAAAATCTACCTACAATTATACATGTACGAAATAATAAATTACAACAACGAGGATAAAAGTGTCGATGATATTGCCTAAATTTAAAAAGAGGAAAAAGGCGGTTGCTTGAATTTATGACAAAATTTGATATATGTTTGTTTGTTTGTTTTACCTGAGTTTCTCTCTTACTACTTATTAAACGTAGCCAGGTTGGTAGTTCAGTGATACAATTCTCGCTAACCACAACTCACGTGATCCGGAGTTAGATTCCCCCGCCAACACACCCTAACACAGCCTCGCTTAGCCGGTAGTAAGCCCGATAAAAAGAGGGGAGGTTGGACATGAGACGAACGACGTTATCTCATAAAAGACAGAATTACGGCTAAAAAAAACAACCTTCAAACCCAAGCATGATGCCCTATATGTTCTACTCGAAACACAAACGAATGCAAAAAATACTAAACACAGTTAATGAGTCTAAAACACCTGTTGATTGAAATTCCTCCCAATGACCCACTGGTACAGCACCGCTGTTCATATTTGCCTCAAACATGTAGTGTCACTGATGCAGAAAGATATTTACCCAATCGCATAGCACAAGTGGTAGATAGATATTATACAATTGACAAGGACTCCAGAATATCATCTATTCTATGTGTGTCTGAAAAAAAGACAGTCTCTAGAGACTTCTGTCATTTTCTGAGGCTGTCCATTGCAGACGGTAAGGTCTCCCCTCGTACGGAAATAACTCCAAACAGGATGTGCATGTGGCCGGCTTCAAGAAGTCATCACTCAGACTCTGTGGTCACACATAACACTAATACTCTTCCTGTTTCATGTATTCACATGGATGGAGTTCACATTTTTTTCTATTTACTGCCAGTAATTACAATCTCAATTACTTTGATATTGTCGACTCATTTTAGGTGGAGTCTGGCTCTGATTGGTGAGAAGGCGATAGACACGCAGGCAGACAGGCAGGCTTTGACGCGATAATTTCTCTACTCATACTTACATCTATTAAGAATACACGACACACTACAAAAATGGTTTTAATAATTCCAGAAACCAAATTTGCATGAAAATGAAGCTCAGGATGAAATTGTATTCACACTGATTAAAGCTTGGCGTTCGATTTTTACAGAAAAGAAACGGGGTGTAGTGTAATGTTACTCAAATAATCATTATAAGTATAACAACTCAGGTTCTACTAAACAAAGAAATATTTCTCTTCAACGACTTCATTTTCAACCCAGCTGTAGTCAGTCATTCAGTCATATTTGTAATACGATAGGAAATAAAGGCATTAAGTGGCACTGTAAATTGTACAATCGCGCTAAATTACGAACTGGTAGAAGTTAGAATTCATGGAGTGGTCACTGATTGGAGTCTCAATGTCTGAATGGTCTACGAACTTGCCTTGTAACCGGAATATCCTGGATTCGAAACCTAGGGGTGGGTGCGTAATGTCGATGAATCCCAAACTAGGCTGACGAGAAAGCTGGCTGTCCAATACTCCAGTACTGGTTTTTAGTAGATCTCTAATTGATACAATCCGTGATGCCAATTTAGTTTATCCAATAGCCTGTTGGGATGCTTGTCAGGTCAAATACATGCGGCAAAGCAGTAGCACAGGTGTAGTCAGACTAGCAGAGCACAAAAACCTGGAAAAATCTAGACTATTTGACTCTGATAGGATAAGAAATCTGGAGGATAGTTCAGCTATAACACTCACTACATGCAATTACACACAACTATGCATACAATAGGATGGGATGGGATAAGATGACAGTTTTGAAAGCTAATGTAACAGGGTGGAGGGAGACATTAATAACAGAAGCTTTGTTTATCGAATCAACTGAGGGAGAGCACGTGTAATAGGAATGATTCAACACCTGTTCAGTGGGACATCTGAAAAATTCTACTACGCCTACCTACGACAACAAAAAGGAAAGAATAAAGAAAACTATAGAACGAAAGATTCGAAGTCGTGTGATTATAATTGATGAAGTGATTATGAACAATAAATAAACTGTAGTCTAAACTTCGTCATCCAGTGAATAATACTGTTTAACTGTGTGCGTGATATATCTAATAAAACAAATTAATATGGAATTACCTAACACCACAGTTCCCAAGTTTTACACCCTTCAAACTCTTGAAAATATACATACATGATAAGAATAGAGGTAATAAACATGATGGGCAACTACTCTTTCTCATAACTATGTAGAGCTGATTACACTGGACGTGTAGCTGAACACTACCCAGTTGGGTTGATGGAAAGTGAGCATAGGATGGACAAGTTCTTCCATCTATGAACACATTCATGAGTCCGGCAACTGAAGACCACGCAATTCATCCTTTCAAGTTGTATACAGGGCTGAATTAAGTCTCTCTAAAAGTATCCGTTTTCTCCACCTAATTTACAGTTGAGGTTCTACATGTATGTGCGTCGGTAGCACAGTGGTTAGAACTCTCGCCGACCATGTACATGATCTGGGTTTCGATCCCTGCCGACACACACCCGATATCAATGGTCGGCCTGAAAAATTTGGGCTACCGATATCCATGCTGAAAATTCCATACTTGTACCCAAAATACGGTGTGGAATCATGCTGTAATCAAAAATAATAATAATATACATGGACAAGAGCCTAAGCGACAGAGCCAAACGTCTAGTTACTGAAGACGAAGAGATCAACAGGAAACTAAAATTGGTCCAATCCACTCTGGAATCAAATAATTATCCTAAAGCTTCTATGAAAAGATATTTAAAATGTAAAGATAAGGATGTTTTTGAAACCTGTTGCTAAGAATTGGGTTAGTACAGCGGTGATTCCTTACCAACAAAGAAACTTCGGGTAACGTAAAGCGAATTCTTAACAATCATGACATAACAGTGTATTTTCGTGAAACCAACACCTCACGCTCCTCATCACTGTTGAAGGTTAAGGATAAAATAGAAAAAGAAAACCAGCAGAATTGCGTATACCAGATCAATTGTGGGGATTGTAACGTCGTATATGTAAGAGGAACTTCCAGACAGGCAAATATAAGAGTTAAAGAGCATATACAATGTCTAAAGGTGGTTCCAAAGACCTCTGCAGACTTGAAGAAGCTAGAAAACAACTCAGCGATTACATTGCATTCGACAGAAACGGAACACAAAATCGACTTTGATAAGACTAAGGTTTTGGTTCATATAAAGAAAGACTGACTACAGAGGCTTTGCATATCTGGGTTAATCCCAACAGTTTGAACAGACGTGAAGGTGTGATGTTAGCTGATGCATGGAAAATCCTGACTAATCAATAAACAAAAAATGGATATGTATCACTAATTAATCATGCTTGGTCTAAATTCCCGATTGTCTAAATCTTCTCATGGAGAGGCTAACAAACATTTTACGACTGTTTACCCATACACACACCATTGTATACCGCATATATACACAAAAATTCTCATATTCAGTTATCTACGACCATGTGCCTTTAGTCGAACGTAATCTGATGACAAGTACACTGTTTTAATTGTTTAACAAAAGTACACTAATTTTGAAAGTCTGAGGTCAAATTTTGATCACAGCCCATACAATTTTGTTTTTTTTTTATTATATTTTGATGACTGTTTCATGACTCATATGACTGGACAACAATTTTTAAAAACAAGAGATGTATTTTTTGTATATATATAGACCTCTGTTATGCTAACTTCGATTACTTTCCCTGAAGAAGTTCCGGTCACCAGTTTACCGAACGCAGGAAACGTTGGAATTAATCATTTTAATTCCTCTGAGATTTTACAAAAATAATTTTACTAAGCAACACTATATGATCAAGCATGTTCTGTTAAACCTCCTTCTTCACCTTAGACATAATAGTGCCCTCATTTTGGTTAGTTTTATTCCACTTCGCCTTATCAACGCCTTCATCAATGTTACCATCATAGCACTTTCAATTATCCTTTTCACCACACTTCAGCTACTCAGTAAAATCGTAATGCCAGTTCACGTATTTAATAATCTTTTGAAAATTCTTGTAATTCATCTACTGAGAATCCACACTCTATAAACATCACTACCTTTAATCTTATTATATGTGCATGTTGACAGAGCAGTTTTCAGTGCCATTTAATGCCTTTTTCCGTAATATAATAACGCCTAACCACAGGCTGAAGACATGAAGTCATTGAAAGCAAATATTTCCTCTGTGAACAGAAAAACTATGATTTCGCTTAGTAGACAATAAATGCGAATATGATATTTCGTGAGATCAATAATAATAATAATAATTACTTACATCAGGGAATGGACAACATGCCCATCCTTCTTCTGTACTAGGACAGCAAGTTGTACCAGATGGACATTCAAAAAGTAGATCTGGACATAAGGTACCAGTATAAGACATTAAATATTTAGCAGATGAGTTAGTTGCTTTTCTTCCCACAATACCTTTCGCCTGATTGATATTTGGATTGGCGCGAGCAGGTTTAGACGTCTTTGTCAAGTATAGGTTATCAAAGAAGTTGTTGTTATCATTATTACTATTATCGTTATGATTGTTATTATTCGCTTCCAAGATTTGATGGGTATTCAAAGGCTTACAAATCTGATGAGTTACATCACAAACTGATCCTTGAGGGCAACAATGCTTTCCATCCGAACAACAAATCGCCTGAGATAAAAACAAAGAAATCATGAAGGAGATACATTTATGACTGTAGCAAATGTTTGCCGTTACAGGAGGTATTACTTTAGAAATGCCTCGGGTAACAGCATACTCACTGATTGACCTAAAAACATGAAACACTGAACAAAAAGGCACCAGTTTAAGTTGTCAGGCTTCATAAAAGTCCACAGAAGGGTAAAAAAGAAATGCAATGAATGCGAGTGTGCAGGAGAGGGGGAGATAATTAGATGATTAACAGTAAAAACCTCCGATATCTGACAAACCAGTAGAAGTGATTGACATTTGTGCCAGTGAGAATAATTTTCGACCATCTTACCGATAACCACTAATCACTGATTTACAGCACGCTGTGGACACCAGATGACATGCGGTTTACACCTCCACGTGCACAGAGTGCTTTCAGTAACTATGTCTAAACCATAAAGTACTAAAGAACAAAAACTGCTTCCCAACACATAAACTTTTCGACGGCTACACAGATACTATGCACGAGCCGAGAATAATACAAGATGTCATATATCAAACAGGACTACTCATACCCATGATGAGATCTCGTCACCGACTAGTTGATTGGGGTTGATGCAGTTCCTCAACTGCTCAGTCTTCACATGATAGCCACTATACAATAAATATGTGCTTCCAGTCGACAAGGGGTTGGATAGAGCCCAGGTTTATCAGCATACAAACAAATAAAATCAAATAATTGTAAGAGGCAACGAGAAACTAGACTATACTAGATTTCAGAAAGAAGTGTGCAGATGATCGACTCTTCCCGACCTAAAAGAGGAAAAACATGCTCGTAGAATAATGAAAGTACATTAAGCTGAATAACATACCTAAACACCTCAATACATATTCCAACAAACAGATTACTAAGGACACAACAACCAAAAATTATCACAAAACAATTCTAAACATACATTAGGGTGTTGACAGCAACCCCACTTTTCATGGGCCATTGGACAACATGTTGTATTTTCAGAACATACAGACAGGCGATCAGGACAAATGACAGTTGTAGTAGACAGTCGCCAAGGCACCAGGTCATCTGCTGCTTTCTGTGTCACCTTGTTTATTTGCTGTAGTATCAAAAGGGAGATGTAGAAGATTACTTGAAAATTAAGAAAGCGAATACGCTTGAAATGTGGGTGAATCATTAGTCTATCTGCAATATCAGTTCCTTTAAGAATGTGAATAGTATGCTCTCGAAAATAGACAATAAGCACTACATACATGCACGTTAATAAAAAGTACATCTGGCAAAATCTCGACTTAATTTTGAAATCAAGACTGGCAACAGTAAAGAAGAGATACCACAGTCAAATGACCCTGAACCAGCCAATTAAGTGCTTCGAGATAAAAAGTGGCATGTATAGTATAAAAAAGTATGTTTCTTGGATGAATGTATGACAAAAATGAATTATCTAGGATATATGCCTTCAATACGCTGCTGAAAGGGTTCTCAGTTTTCCATAGGAGTGACTACAGTAAATAAACTAGAAACTGTATGAGTACTAGTTATAGGATCCACTGAATCTGATGAACGGTTGACTCTACAACGAATAAAAATTACTGACGTTGGTCACACTGCTCAGCATTTCATCAAATGGATATTGCCCATAATAGCCATTGCAAGCTTCACCCTTACCCATATTATAACCCTTTTTTAGTCCTACCCTAACCCCACATCAGAATGAAACTTGCAACCGAGATTGAGAAAAGCAATCATTTGTAATCCTGACCGATATGTTTGGTTGGTTCAAGGTCACTCGAATGTAGTATCTATCCTTCACATCACTCTTGCCATTAGGATACATATATTGCTAAATTCTCGCCTATGTAAGTCAAATCATTTCCAGTCTCCCAGTTTTGAAGTTGTTAGCATCAGAAATATAATATAAAATAACTACTGAGAAAACTATCTGATAACTTCAATATTCTGCTGATATTTAATTCGTCTACTCTTCTAATTTCTACATAAAGTTTAACCAACGACTGCAATCACTCTTAATAAACACAACCTATTTATCTAAAGACAACAAATAAAAGATCTTAACTTAAAATTTAAGTGTAAAACTAAGCAAAACTTATTATTATTCGCAGTCAGACAAGTTGAGAAGTTTAAAAAATACAGCACATCATAACATTATTTGTTTTGTTCGTACATTTGAATCTATCAAAAAGAGATATCTTATTGCATCACACAGTGGAAACATTTAACTGAAATATCCTTTAGAGGAATACCTATGAGATGCTGATTCATTTATAACACATTTCGAGTTGTAATCAATGCATAATGGATTCGAACACTTAGCCAAATGATGTCACTAGTGGCTATGTTATATAGGTATCGTTTACGGATAAAAGCATAACTATGAAAAAGTGGTGCAGATGAAATCAAACATCATTTACAAAATACAACACACTTGCGTTTATTTCCATTCAGATAGCCTTTATACTTATACACTCAATTCCTTGTTTCGTCACTATTCTTACTATGGTACAAGATTAAACGGTTTGAACCAAAGTGCCTCTGTGCAAAATTCTTCTGTTTTATTTGTTCCTTCTTTGTTAGTCAACATAGTACATGAGCATGATATACAAATCAAACATTTAGGATTTTATAGGCAGGAGTCTAAATGAATTTCACCAAATAACTTCCAGGATGCTAATATTGAACGCTAACATAGGACTTTTTATTGCTGTGTTAATTAACGTTGAGGTCTCCCCAGTTCACATGAACACAACAAGGTAAAAAAAAAAATAAAATGCCGATAAAAGAAAAAACAATGTACCGGAAATTTCCATCAGAACGTGTAGGCAAAAGAAACTTAGAAATCAGAGTAGACACAGTTTGGTGACTCTATTTACTACAGCTCTTCTATCGCAGCTGTATACAACCTCAGTAGCTGTTCATTTAAAATTCGTAGTTACAATCAAAATATGTATGCATAGAGCTGGTGAGAAATTCAACTAAGATGAATGATTACAGATACAGATAGATCATTAGCCCAAATACTGTGTTTACATAGAGACAGAAACGACTACTAAAAATTATGACAAATCAATACATTATCACTCAATATCCATAATCCCTTATCTACAAAGCGGAAACAACTAAATCAGACTCAGTTTGCTTTAATCTCTTTTGAATCACCGAACCTTAATCTATGAAGATATAAAAACCGGAGATAACAGTAGAAATTCCCAATTTAATATTACTTATAAAAAACTCAGAAACACCTAACTTCATTTGATGGATAAACAATACTTATGAACTATAAGTGACACGTTAAATACAACAGCTGATTTAAGTCCACAAACCTATTAACTGATGTACACCTTCTAAACATAACTTTACGTACTCAACTTGCATACTTTGAAGAACAGATTAACGGCCTAAGAAGCCGACATAAGTATTTGGGCTGGAAATGTAAGCAGACTCATGGAATGTCCTATATAATTTAACTGAGAGTTTGACCACCTATAACTCTTTTTCACACTTATCCCACACCGGCTCGGTCTGCTTGTAAAGAAAAACAGTGGTTTGACATGCATAACCTAGCAACCTCGTTGATCCCACACCAAACTACGGTAGCTAAGTGCCATGACGAGTTATGTAATGACCGTCTGATGATCCGGAAGTTACTCACCACCGAGGAGAAATTGAATAAACTTATATTTCACCACCTCGCAATGCATAAATGTCAATACTCGTATGGAATCAGTCTTATTACAAAATAAGAATCTGGGGGTTTCTTGTGGATAACTTCGGAGCAGCTGTATAAAATCTTTGCGGAAATGTATGAAAATATCGGCACCTTAACCGAAACCCCAAAATGTCTGTAGACTACCCCAAAATGTCTGTAGACTACCCCAAAATTGCACCAAAATACCCCCCCCCTATAAATTTCCCCCGAAACTGTTTAATATAGCATTGTAATGAGGATAAAAGCACTCACGTCAGATATTTGTCTAGAAGGCTTTATACTTCCGTCAGCATAAATGCACTGACCAGATCCCGAATCACATCTGCTACCTTCAGGACAGCAACTCTTACCATCAATGCAACATACTCCCTGGTAAATAAGTGGTTTTACAGAGAAACACATCTAACGTACATTAGCATATGGACAGCATCTAAAATCCCCAACGCCAATCTCACAGCATGATCCATTTAGGCAATGATTAGGACATAAGTGTGGTTGAACGAAGCTTGCCCAACATAATAAGAGGCAAAAATAAACCAAAACCCGATTCATCGCAGAACGATAACTCCCGCCTTCTGACAGCCTTGCAACACACCTGTTTCAAAGCAACCTACACGTTGTTTTAAAAGTAGGTTAAATACGGTAGAAGAAACAATAAGGATTCATCTACTGTTACATCGTTTTTATGAATACTGGGCGATTGCAGCGTGGTGCGGATAAGGTCATTCCTTATGATGATGATTATTCCATTTGGTACCGAGTGGAATATAGGGCTTCAACAATACATCTCCACTCTCTTCTATTCACGGCTACCCTCTTCAGCTGGGAGCGCGATTTCACATCTCATCTCCTCCTCCAACTCACACGATCTCCTCCATGTCGCTCTTATACTGATGACCCACTTGTCGCTTACAATTCACCTCCCAATCGTGCGGTGGCCTGCACTGCACGCGATGTCATTCGACGGCCTCCTCAGTGGCGTATGTCCTATCCATCTTCCTTTTTCTCTAACATATTTGTTGAGCATTCGGCTCTCCCTTGTTGTGATTATTTTCTGGCCATTTGATCTTCATCATGGAACCAGGGAAGTGAGCATCTGTCGATAAAATTCTGCAACTTGCTGAAAATCCTTTCCATGGCGCGCGGTGCAAGTTTCTGACCCATATGGAAGACATGACTGACTAAAATTTTGCATTAAAAGTCGGAACCGTTTTCTTTGAGCGGAGTTAGTGCAGAAGGTTTCAAAACTGGCTTCAAGTTAATGGCCTGCTTTGACATCATCCGTTCCACCAGGCAGTGGTTGAATCCGTGCTTTCTAGCCGAATAGGTAAAGGAAGCAACCCTTCCCAAATATCCCCCATTGAGGGTGATTGGTGCTGAGTGTTGTAGCTGTCACTATTAGTTGGTTGGTTTTCTTCGTCACCTCTGTCTTCTCGATGTTCACCCGGGGTCCCGTCTTCGCTAGTTGCCTGTTCTCCCAGTTTGCTGGTTCTTGCCTGTTCTCCCATTTTGCTGGTTTTCGCCTGCAAGTCTTCGAGTCTGTGTGACATTAAACATAAATCATCTGCGAAGTCCAGGTCCTTCGGAGTTTGTTTATCGGTCAGTCCAACGTATTCCTGTCTTCTCACTCCCTGCTCACAGTTTGACGCATAATCCGGTCTAACACAATTAAGAATATCATCGGAGGTAATAAGCAGGCAGTCTTGTTTTACCCCTGTATTAACTCCGAATGGCTTGATGGAGTGTTTCCATTGTGGGTCGCCTGACACGTGGTATTGTCATATACCCGGCTGTTTGATGAGGTTGATAAAGATTTGGGCCTACACGCAGTAGTGTTGAAGCAATTTCCAAATTGCTTCTCTCTCAACGCCATCGAATGCCGTTTCGAAGCCCATGAAGCTGAGGTATAGAGAGGTTTGACTGTTGTTCTACGCTTTGTTCCGTGATGACGATGCGTAGAGACGCACTTCGATCAATACATGTGTCAGCCAACTCTCAGAACCTCTCAGGTCAAAAACAAGGGACAAAGTTTTAGGACAATGGCAGTCAGGCTGGCAGGAGACAAAATCCTGGTAGCTAAATCTAGATTAGTTGACCCGAATAAGATAGGAAATCTGGAGGATAGTTCAGTTATAGCATCTACCTTGAAAGAGCAAGTACGTATTGGTTGGAAGAAATCAGAGCTCATCAAGCTGTCAAGGAAGGCTGTCAATCACATCTCAAAAATCGTTAATGCCCAGCTCTTGTTACGCTGGGCCTCTCGCTGTCCCTCGAAGCCCTTCAGAAACAATTTGTAATAACCAAAGCGAGAAACCAGAACGCAGATTGGCGACTCGAGAATCCTGTATTCTTACGCCAACAACGAGGTAATTATACACAAGATCTAAGAATAAATCTTAAAGCAATAAACCACGATAATACTTCTGATCGCTTTTTATCGTCCTTTGAACAATGAACGTTGAGACGATGACTGGTGTATTGATACCTCCGCGAAAAATATAGGGAAGCTGGGTTTGAGCAAACAACCATGAACTGATCGTTCAATCTTCAACTACATTGACACGCCCCGGCAAACATTGGATCCATCCTTCGTTTCCATCTCGACCAATATATGTTTACTTAAGTGCCAGTGCGAGAACCTGGGTCAGACGAACAAAGCTGAAATGGAAAACAAACAGCAAACCAAGGCAACACAGGCAAAATCACAATCGTCGATGCAGACCTACGCCTTCTAGTTAAAGGCGTCGCACTGAAATCTTGCAACACAATCGCCACTTGCTAGAATAACTCTTCAAGAAAGCAACGGGAGCATAGAAGCACCTCATGATACTCGTCGAACATCCTCTTATCTATTCAATATCTATTACAAATGTGATCGCTGGTCAATAATTCTGCCTCAGTTCTAGTAACGGTGACGTATGCAAGCATCAGTCGTCTACACAAATAAGATTAAGCAACAATTACATTGATTGGAACCCACTCATTTACTTAACAAAAACAAATGTACAATCAGTAAATCAAATGCTGTGGATACTACCTCGACGAAATACCCTTGAAGAACTGTACGATTTATAGCACTACGCCAACAACCCTCCTCAGGTTGACGCCCTAGGTTGGAAAATCGTCGCAGAGTTCATTTGCTGACCTCGTACTATCATCTATATCCCCTGCTCTGAACAATGACATGCCCGTGTCATGGTATCGTAGAATATAGGTGGCTAACAAACACACGACGTATCTGACCAACCAAGCGCAAGCATAAAAAAATATACACCAAAGATGATAAGATTCCAATGGTAACTTGAAATGATTTTATACGTGCAAGTCAGTTCAAAAATTACACTCCCATACACAGTTATCTTATCCCTATTAAACTGAGCAACATCTTTCGACTTTTCAAAGGATCTGATACTAACGTAGTCACAGCACAAGACACATGACGTCACCGAAGTCACCTTTAATGTGGACGACAACACCAACGACGACTGATTGATACCAGTTGATGAACTTAGCGGTGGATCAAAAGCTGGTGTTGTCCGGCTTTCAGATAGTTGTCTAACTGCAAGATTACCACCACTTCTGTCTTTCACTACTAGTTCGGGTTTAGCACTATCATCTGATGATAGGTGGGCTACACGCTGATCAATTACACTGACGATCTCACGAGTGTCCATAACTTCTGCAACTGCATCTCCGTTCAGTTCTACTTCACGTTGTAGTTGGACAGAACCTTTATTCAACTTAGCAGTAGTAGGCATTCCCCCCATTTCATCATGATCAACCAAAGACAAATGTGCACTATCATGATCATTATCACAAATATTCACTATAACGTCGTCTATTTGGTCGACTTCATCATTTTCAAACTCTTTAATAACAGCAGTAGACAATTTGGGTTTTTCCTCACAAATCCCTTAATATTTTATGCCTTCACTCTGACTAGTAATACCTTGTAAAGCTGTGGAGTCAGAACTGCACTCTGAAGCAATAACTCTATTCTGTGACACTCCATTCAACAATGGCTTACCAGTTGCAACTACAGACTTCTTCACCGCACCGTTAACGTCACATAATTCGGAGTCAGAACTGGATTTCACATTTAGCTTATCACTGAGCTTGCTCACTGGTTTACGGTTCACCATTTTATGCACTTCTTGCAAACGTGTGAAACACAACCGTGTTTGTCTTGCATCTAGTAACTTATCTGTTGAGGATGTACCACGAAGCCTGTTACACTCACTAGGTCCATATGCATTACTAGACATCATGGAGTCTTCTCGATATCCACCTCTCTGCGGCCTACTCGTCATCAATGATTGCATTTTGCTCTCAGACTGCTCTATTCTAGGGGTGAGATTCAATATACCGGCAAACTTGCTCATAGATTGATTGACACTAGTATTTACCAGTTTCAGGATATCATCAAACTTTGGCTCGATACCCTCATCCTCCATACGGGAGCTCATCTTCACCCACTTCCTTTGCAGTCGAGTAGGTAGACGTCTTGCTATTACTTCTAGCATAAAACTCGAGTTGAGGTCACTCATGCAATTCATAGAAATTAATGCATCCTTGTAAGTCAGCAAATTATCCAGAAACTCAGTGAGTGCCTTGGAGTCATCTTGAAGTTGACTGCCGTTACCTTTGATAGCTTCGTGTACGTTCCTTACAATCATTGATGCTCTTCCAAACTTTTGACTTAGTATGCTCATAGCCTCAGAGTATCTCTCAGTAGGGGACATGAACTTACAACTCTGTATAGCTCCTGAAGGAACTCCAGTGCAGTACCTCATCAAATACATCAATTTCAATTCATCACGTAATAAAAATCTACTCAGCATGATCTCAAACTCCTTTACAAATTGTAAATAATCAGCCGGGTTTACGTCGAAACACCGTGGTTCAAATTTAGAGAGTTTGATGTTCCTATTATCCCTGAACGGCGAATTAGTAACATCAACCATGTCATGCTTAACATCAGACACATCGTTACAATTAACAGACAAGTCACCATGACTTACTTTCCTGTTTGCATCCAAGACACTCTGTCCCTTCTTTGACCCAGGCATTGTTGAACTTGACTCAAGTACAAAAACGCTCCAGATATTGCTTGTTCAAAGAGGACTTGACCGGCACCAGGAAAGATGAACAGTGACTATCCAAAGTCGTGCCAACTGTCCAAAACCGTTTATAAACTGACGTTGTACCGTCAGAAACTGTCAGCTACGTCTCATAAACCGTTAATGCCCAGCTCTTGCTACACTCGGTCTCACGCTGTTCCTTGAAGTTTCTCAGAAACGCTTAGCAATAACGGACGAAAAAACCAAAACACCAATTGGTGACTCAACAATTCTTTATTGTTACACCAACATATAAAAATAATGTTTTTACTAGGGTCTGTGAACAAATATTACAATAATAAATCACAAGATTACTTCTGATGGTTGTCTCCTGACTTCTTTCTGAACAGCGACCGATGAGACGATGACCGGCTGATTGATGCCTCCGCGAAAATTGGGGAAGTTGGGTTTGAGCAAACCACCATGAATTCA